GGGGGGATAACATGTCAGAGATAAGTCATATTGGCTAAAGACAATTTATATCATACTTTCAACGCCCTTTCTTCTCTTGGATTCTTTTTTTCTGATTCATCACTCTTCTTTCCAAGCTCTGTTTCCATTCTTTTTATTTTTCTTTGAAGTTCATCTATCAGAGTTTGCTCATCAGCCTTGCTCTGAAAAATAAGGAATAGCTTAAGTTATAGTTTCTGTACATCACAAGTGATATAGTACTACAGCATTAGTATAAGGACAGTCTGACAAGTATGAGTATTTCATAATTAGTAATTTTGCAAGTTCATTTGAAAAAAGTGGATATTGCATAGACGTTAATAGTTTGTGACTATAGTTATAGTTTAACTATATTAAACTATAAAATATATGTAGCTGGAACTTCAGTTACTGAAATGACATAAAACAAGATGCAGGAAACATTTGAAAGTATTCTTCAAGCTTAAAAAAGACCTAGATGACTTAACAAATGTGCTCTAAGCAGATTTCTGCATGATTGCAGAGTGACCTGTTTCATCACTGGATGATCAATTGTAGTGCTAAAAAAATATAACACAAAAAATATCCTATGGCAAAAAGGATTACTTACCTGAATTGAATTAGTTAATCTTTTATTCTGCTTTTTCAGTTCTTCATTCTCTTTTTCAATATCATCTTTCTCCCTTAGAACTTTAGTGTAGGCTTTCATTTTTTTCTGAAGTTCTTGATTTAAATCATCCATATCATCTAACAGAGAACTCTCCTTATTTTTGCTTAGTTTAAGAGCATCTTTATGTTTCAAAAGTTGGTCATTTAAATCTTCCATCTGACCCTAAGAAATTAATATATATTAATTATTATTCAGGACAACCAAATAATAAATGATAGATTAAATTCATAGAAAAAAAGGTTGAAAGCATTAATTTCTGACAATAGAAGATAGGATCTTACCCTAGTTGCAAAACACAGGAAAATTCAGTTGTATTTATGGCTCCCAATTCAAAACTAGAAATTGTTTTTTATCACTGCATCCATTTTTTCCAATATTATCTACTTTTGCTGACTATGATTTTACAATTCGCTTTATCTGAGAAGAGGATCTCTAAGAGGGTTTCCTAGTTTAATGGTTCCTGCTTGAATAGAAAATGGACACCATGGCCAGGAAAACCTCTGCCCAGATTTCAGTTGCATATCAAATGCAGCCATTCTTACTGCAGGAAGAAACAGATAAAAACATATTCTACAAGACCTAGAAAACAAGATTGAGGGCAGTCAAGGCTACAATCTATACTGTCTGGTGATTTTAAAGTGTGATTTGTTTTCCTCATAAATCCTAAAACTAGATAAAGACAACCCAGTTAAACAAACCAGTCAAAAGTATCATACCGAAAAGTTCAAAATATTCACAAACTTTTTGTAAACCATGGTATTTGTTTTTTGTTTTTTAATTTACTTATCTTTTTTCCCTTTTCTTTTGTTTTATTTCCTGGCTAAAGATGTAATGTAATTGAATTGAACTGCTAGCCCATTGGAAGAACTGAACTGCAATACTCTAGATCTCTTTAATTATTCAAAACAGTTGCAAAATACTATGATGGTCCAATTTATTATTATTTTTCTAGGAAAAATATTCAGAACCATATTCTTTTCTGATACATTATGTTAATAAGTATTTTCCTATGAAAACTCAGTTTGCAATACTTGTATTGCACTTCAAATGGTATTCTTTTGAATATGCCACAGCAAACAAATAGAAATAGTGTTTCAGCTATTATATTTCTTTCTGACTGTAAAAATAATTTATTAGTCTATATCCAGCTCCACTCTGGAAAAGTGCCTTTTGTTATAGGAAGTATTATAGATACATCTTTCTATTTTTGTATAATCCAGATAGACTTATTTAAGCAGTTATTTCAGATATCCTGCTATAGCAGAAATGCATGTGACTGTGATTATTATATCACACTGATATATAATCTTTTGATACTGTTTTTACTGTTTAACCTGTTATAGATATGTTTTGATAAAAGAAAGTGATATTTCTGCATTAAATAACCATTTCACAATAAATATTGTGAATCTAAAACCCAGAAAGATGAATGCCCTCTGATAAGCTTGATGATGTGCTTCAAAAACTCTATCAGATAACTGTTAATAACTTAAGCAGAAACTTTTGAATAAATAGTAATCACTCATATGCTTTCTCAATTCAAAGTTTCAGAAATTATCCAAACAATTGTACTGATACCCCATTTTTTTATTCTAGCTTGCCTCTTGTATTAATGATCCCCTTTTATTAACAATTGCCATTAAGTTTTTATTTTTTAGCAAGAAAAACTTGTAGGAACCAACGATTTCCTAGCTTTCCTTCAATTATTATTTTTTAAAAAATAAAAGAACAATTATGTCTCAGCAGGTTGGAATGTCCAATATCAAAGATGTTGGACTCCAAAACTGATTGAGGTACTTGGCCACCAGGAGAAAAAAATAAATAAATAGCATTTCTATTTCCCAATATTTGATTTAGTTTAGAGACAGACAGACAGACAGAGAGATACTGTATTTTGAAATCCCACCTAATAAAGCAAATATATCCACTCCTAATTTAATGAAAAATTTCTGTTCCAGTGACTTGGTTGTTAAGCAAAATAGTCACTAAGTATTGTATACTGCACAGTCTCTCTTTGAGGAAGATGGGCAGTATAGAAAAGTGAAAAATAAATTTAAAATATTAAAAAACTAACACATAACTGAAGGAAAGCCACTGTGAGAATTGCTGGTTGCTGTTACCTTATTCAGATTAAGTTCTCATATAGCTCCACCAATATTGCTTTCACTCTGGCAAGTGTTGTTGTCAGATGAGCAAAATGTATGCATTGGCCAGAAAATATTTTTTTTAAATTACCATCATATTTGTGAACGGTCACTAACTGAGGTAGTTGCTAAATGAGGAGCAGGTATAGCTTTAATATGCATACATTCCAACTGTGACATTTTTTTGGGACAAAAAATGCAATTTTCAAAGTGGGATATATTGCTACTAGACACTACTATGGTATGAAGACAAACTAAGCAATATTGTGCAAGCATGCTAATTCCTTTTTACCCTCAATTCCTTTGTGTGCTTGTCAACAATTTGCTGAACATTCATATGTGCCTCCTTTTGTGATGCTACAGAAATTATCTGTTGCTCTGCAGCTGCTGTCATTTCTGCTCGGAGTTCCAGAAGTGCCTTGCTCAAAGCCTAAAAATATCGTTAAAAAGAATAAGCTCTGCAAATAAAAAAATTAACTGTCATTGTATTTGTAAAGATAAATAAACCCAGAATTTAACTTTCTGTAGAATTGGAGTTGCAACCTTTTCTGGCTGAGATGTTTGAGTGACTTCTTTGGAATAAACTCAGAAAGTAATAGATAAGACTACAGAAAATTTTACTTTATTTATATGTAATCTTATACATATACATATACAGCTTCAGGTTTGCCGGTCCGCCTCCTCCCCCTCGCCCTGTTCGCCAGTCCCGTCCGTCCTGCAGCGTGCAGCTGTCCGACGTTGTTGCCAAATTTTTAGGATAATTGCATACAATTATGTTATATATATGTGTGTGTGTGTGTGTGTATCCTCCCTGGTTCAGCTGACAGAAGTGAGGAGAGCCTGTGGCCTAGAGGTTAATACAGTATGGCTAGCTGATGAGAGCTAAATAGCTCGAAATAGCTATACTAGTCTCCCTTTAACTCTTTGTTGGCAAAAATCTAAATTTACAGAAATAGTTCATCGCAATAGCGACTTGAGCCTGCAAAACGCTCCTAGATTGGGGCTGAAAGGCAAAAGTAATCATAGGAGTAGACCAGGTGTTCTATTAGACCGGTTTCACCGGAAAACTATATATATATATGTGTGTGTGTGTGTGTGTGTGTGTGTGTGTGTGTGTGTTTATTTAGCAATAAACAACTGGTTTATACCTCTCCCGGAGATCGAGGATTGTGTTATTGAACATATATATATATATATATATGTGTGTGTGTGTATGTATATGTATAGATGTATATAATTATATATATAATTATTTTAAAAATTTGAGTTCCAGGTATATTTATTCTAGAAACCGCTAAAACTGCTGATCTCCTGGTTCGGCTGTGCTGGCCGGCATCCACAGTGAGAGGATTACCAACCAACGCAACTACATGGCAGATTGACAGCACAACCAAACATGATAGCGGGGGGAATGATCTAGCAACGTCGACGGACAGCTGTGCGTTGCAGGACGGATATGACCGACAGATGGGGCAGGCAGGGGGAGGCAGAACGGCGAAATTGAAATGGATGCCGGCCAGCGCAGCCGAACCAGGATCAATACAGTATTATATATACTCTATATTATACATTATTATATTATATTATATACTGTATATATGCAGTCCCCAATTAAACTCAAAAAGTAATGGATAAGGCTACAGAATTTTTTATTTATTTATTTATTTGTTTGTTTATTTATTTATTTATTTATTGAGAGAGAGAGAGAGAGAGAGAGAGAGAGAGAGAGAGAGAGAGTTTTTTTCAGACAGTCTGATTGATTGCACCTTGGCATTTTGACTGCTATACTGCAGTTCTACTTTTTATAATCTCTTTTGCCTTGCAGCCCCTCAACTAGGGGTGTTAAGCAGGCTCAAGTCACTACTGCAATACATTACAAATTCAGATTTCTTTTTGCTGACAAGAGTTAAAGATTTTAAGTGGGAGACATATGTGTGTGTGTGTGTGTATGCATATATATGCAGTCCCCAACTTATGACAATTGAGCCCAAAATTTCTGTTGTTAAGTGAGACATTTGTTAAGTGAGTTTTGCCCCATTTTACAACCTTTCCTGCTTCAGTTGTTAAGTGAATCACTGCAGTTAATAAGTTAGTAACCCAATTGTTAAGTGAATTTGGCTTCCCCGTTGATTTTCTTGTCAGAACAACCTTAGCTGCCAAGCATTTGAATTTTGATCACACGATCATGGGGATGCTGCAAAGGTTGCAACTGTGGAAAACGATCATAAGTTACTTTTTCAGTGCTGTTGTAACTTTGAATGGTCACTAAATGAACTGTTGTAAATTGAGGACTATCTGTCTGTCTGTCTGTCTGTCTGTCTATCTATCCGTATACACATACATACATACACACATATATACATACATACATACAGGCAGTCCTGAACTTACAACAGTTCATTTAGTGACCATTCAAAGTTATAATGGCACTGACCATTTTTTCCACAGTTGCGATCTTTGCAGCATCCTCATGATCTCTCAGGCACTGGACAGGTTGGAAGAAAAAGAAATGAAAATACCATATCTATTTTGCAATCATCATGCAAACCAAGTAGGAGAACAAAGGAAAGAATCGCTACACCAGTATAGAAACACTGAAGTGTGCCAGCTCTGTAAAAGTGTTGGCAGATAGGTAGCTTTTCTGTTTTCATTTACAATTTTAGTTATGGCTTATAAAATGGTTTTGTCTGTCTTTGCATAATATACTTTATCAAAAAGCTTGTTAATGATTGCACCCTTCCCCTCCCTAGATTTACAATCGCAAAAAAATGTGAAATAATCATACTTACTTTTTGTTGCTTCTCTTTTAAAGCTAGCTGATTCTTTAGTCGCTCCATTAGATTCTTCATTGTAGTTGTTGGAGACCTGTTATTTGCTTCTTTTTGTATTTCCAACTCACTTTTTACATTCAGTAGTTCTTTTCCCATTTTTGACAATAAACTCCTTAATTCTTCTATTTCATCTTGTAGTTTTTTAACTCTATCTTGATGCTTCTCCTCAAGCCTAGTACAACAAAATAATATATAACACTGAATTCCACTATTAAACTGAGCAAAGCCAGGTAGACTAAGAAATAGTCAAATATTATTCAATGCAACACAAGACTCCATTATAAATCAAGACAATCAGTCAAGCTTTTCTAAAAACTAACCATGCAATGTAGACTTACTGGGCCCTGATGTTATCAAACTCCTTGATTTTTACTGCAGTTATCTGTTTTTGCTTCTGTAAGTCAGATGATGTTTTCTTTAATTTGCTGAGAAGGGAATTAAGGGAGCTGTCCTGTTCTGCTATAGTTTGTTCCAGTTCTGCCAGACGAATTAAATGTTTACTTGCTGGAACAGCTAAAGAAGGCTTTTGAATCAACTCCTGCAGAACAAATATATTGAAATAAATCTTTCTGTACTCGTTTATTTCATTTTACCATTTTAACATCAAAAATCAAAGTTTCTTGCCAATACATTTGTAAGAAGAGGTTAATTTAGCTCGTATAATTCTCAATTCAGAACATATACATCAGTCAAAATTAGGAACTTTCAAAGTCACAAGAATTTCAATAGATTTAAATATTCTCCTTAAAGAAATCATTAGGATGATATAATTTTCTTCAGATCACAGATTTTGCAAAATGCAAAGAAATGATATTTTTAATATAGATACCTATATTATAAATATATATAGTCCTCAACGTAAGGCTGCAATCAAACCCAAAATTTATGTTACTAAGTGAGAAATTTGTTAAGTGAGTTTTGCCCCATTTTATGGCTCTTCCTTCCATATTTCTTAAGTGAATCACTGCAGTTGTTAAATTAGTACACAGTTGTTAAGTGACTGGTTTCCTCACAGACTTTGCTGGTCAGAAGGTAGCAAAAGGTGATCACATGACCCCGACACTCTGCAACCATCATAAATATGAGTCAGTTGTCAAGCATCCAAATATAAATCACGTGAGCATGTGGATGCTGCAACGGTCATAAATGTGAAAAATGGTCATAAGTCACTTTTTTCAGTGCTGTTGTAATTTTAAAGAGTTACTAAGTGAACTGTTGTAATTCGAGGAGTACCTATACAAGTTATTGTTGTTTATGTCCATAATAGCAAATATTGTCCATTTCTTTCTATTTACTCACATGAATTGCTCCAAATCAAAAGTTAATAGTGTCAACTCTACCTGTTAGTTCCATCAATAGCTAGCCTAATAATAATAATAACAATAATGTGCAACTATGACAAAAAAATAGTATCAATGGTGATAGGCGCCTTGGGTGCAATCCCAATACAACTGGAGCACCACTTGAACACCACTGGCACTGATAAAATCACCATCAGTCAATTGCAAAAGGCAGTTTTATTTGAATACCTGACATCCTGCACCGATACCTTGAATACCATGAAACAATATCACCTCATCCTAGGTTCATGGGAAGGGCTCAAAAGTGGACAAAAATGCCAAATCCACTCTAAACTTCTGGTTGACTGCACAAAATTTCCCCATTTTACCTTTATGTCATAAGCATTTAGTTTATAAACAAATGAAACTTATTATACTTACTAAAGCTGTTTGCTTGAATTTATTAAAGGAACTGTCAACATGTACATCTAATTTCTGATGCAGAATTCTGAGGTCCTCTTCATGATTCTTTGCAATTTCTTCTTGTTCCTAAATAATACATTTGTATTTCTTATAACAATAGACTTTACTGATAATTTGCACTATTTTATCTAATAAAAACATATTTCATACACATACATATATGCACACCCACACACACATATATATACATACACACACATACGCACACATATTCATTCATTCATTCATTCATTCATTCATTCATTCATTCATTCAATGATTTAGACTCATTTTGTTTCTGCAGGCTTATTCCTCCCAAAACTACTCAAATACTAAATCAGATTTATTACAAAATACAAAGAAACCCAAACTAACTCTCCACATTTTCCATTTTCAAAATAAGATTACCTATAACTTTAATATGTGACCTATTTATGTTTCTTTTTTCTTCTTCATCCCTACTAACCTGTTAGTTTCATTCCTTTCATTCCTAGGAGTGTTTTTCACGATGCACAAAATATTTTAAAAAAACTGAAATATTAGGAAAATGCCAGTTGAAAGTATTGGTATACTAAGTTTTTTTCCAAGCCTAATCACAATTTCCATTATGAAACCTAAATATTCCACCTTCATTTTTATTTAAGTGTTCTAAATTATAATACCTCTCGTGCTTTGGCCAAAAGGTGTTGGTACTTTTTCAGAATTTCTTCTTTCTGATTTAATCTAGCTTGCATATTTGCAATGGTCTGGTGTGCAATTTTCAGAGCATGAGGGTGGGTATAATCATCAATTTGATCTAGCTGTACTACCAATTTCTCTCTTTCAGATGATGCTGGCAATTGCAGTCTTAGTTCATTTATGACTTTGTCTCGTGACAAGATGTTTTGCTCTGCTTTCCACAAAGCAGCTTCTTTTTCTTTTAGCTTCTGAAACCAAAAAAATCCATATTATTGAAAAATTAGTTATAAAAAGAACTTTCAGCAATGCGAACATTTTACATGACATTTCAATCAATTATACTTCTATTGTGATATAATCAGACTTAAATCTAACATGCGTGCAGATTTATTATTATTATTATTTTTAATTCTAACTTTGTAACTTTCTTCAAGTTAAAAATACCAGGAGAAGAGCAGGGAGGCAGGTTTATGATGGTATGGGTAAAAGTGGGATGGTAATGATAGTGGAGGCAACTGCAAGAGAAGGAACTCAGAATTTTCTAGATAGCAGCTTTGGAAATAGAAAATATAAAAAATAATTACAGAACATAAGAGCTAGCTGGTAAAGTTTTTGCTAGGAATATTTAATTTGATCTTTTGCTGAACATTTTACTGTGCTTAGATCCTGTAGAATCAGAGCCAGTTACAATATTAAAAATAACAGTAGTAATACATTTATTTTGTATTTAGTCATCATAGATAAAAAAGGCACATTAATTTATCAACTAATGTTGATAAGTTAAACTATCATAAAATAGTTTAAGCCCATATATTAAGGCTTAAATGGTCAGAATTTGATCATCCTACTAGCTAAAGGTAATCACAAAAATTAAAATGCTTTTATCAAGAAATCAAATTAAGTTAATATATTTATACTGACATTTCATTAACAATATTTTCTATTTTTCCATTTTTATTTAGGAAAACCTGAGAATTTCTGGTTAAAACTCCCAGGTTTCCAGCCATATACTATTGAAGTGATAAAGTATTGTTAATTATTTGTGAAAAGTAATTAAAAACACTCTCAGTTCCTCAGCTCGCTTGAATACTGATAATTTTCTCCCTCTCTCTTGATCTGATAACATCATTAAAAGCAGAGGATTCAATTAGGTGAGTAGTTCTATTACCTCTTCTACAGATTTACAGGTGACTTGCATTTCCAGAATTGTTCGACTTTGCTCTCTAACTGTTTTAAGAGCTTGCTGAAGCTGATGTGGAAGAGGCAAGCTAGGATCTGGAACTGTACCTGCAGCTTCATTAAACTGTAAATGAGAGAAATAAATGGAAGATAAAGAAAGCAGCCCCACCCCAAATATGGTTCTATTACATGGCATTAAATCAATGTAATTACCTTCTGAGCTGTACTTAATATGTCCTGTTTCTGACTATCGTATATATCCAGCTGACGTTCTAATTCTACTTCTCTTTTATCCCAGGCCATCTGTCGCTCCTCGTGGAACTACAATTAGATCAGAATTTTACATGAAGAATGACATCTAGGAATGACACCACTAGAGTACAGTGGTACAAATAAACTTACATGCAAAAAATGTTTTTATGAAAGATTAACAACTAACATTCTTAAGAATATATTGATCTTTTTAAGAAAAAAATTGACAATGGTATTTTTTTTGTACCTTGCCCTGCTGAACAAGTTCTTCTTCCAAATGATTGATTGTCTGTTCATATTCAGAGAAGATATTTTTTAAATATTTAATCTCCTCATTTTTTCTGGATAATTCACGATTTAGCTTAAGTTCTTGGAGGCGAAGTTCTTCAATTTTCACATGCCACTCAATTACCTGTTAATTTATAATAAGTCAAATGTCAACAGTAATTTAAATGCCTCATTTAATTAATTCCAGTAAAGTAGCATAATGATCAAGAATTGAACAACTGTTATAGTTTTTCAGAAAGGAATTAAAGGCTTTGAAATGGAATTATTGATGTACCTATACAAAGTTTAGTGCACATCTAATAATCTTCTAGCCCTAACTAACAAGATGACTTTATAAAAGAAATATAAATCACTGTGTACCACTAAGAAGGATACAAAGCCATTCAAATAGGCATGGATGATGAGAATAATATCCAAAGCCTGATCTGGCATATGCAGGATTACATATAAAAACTTTCAATTTAAAACTGAATATCTAACCTTTTGTGCTCCTCTTGCATCTTTTAAAGTGGCTACTAGTTCTTCTATTCCTTTTAATTTCATCTCCAACTCCACTGCTTTGTTCTCTGCATTTCGTCGTTCCTGCTGAGCTTGCTGGATATCTTCCATAGTTTTAAGTTTGTCATTCTGCAGTTGAATCATAGTCTTGGAGAACTTCTCCTGTTGAGCCAGGGGCAAAGCACCACTAAATTGCCTCCGTAATGACTGAACAGTTTGGCGTAAATGTTTGACTCTATTTCTCCCCTCAAGTCTTGCATAATATAATGCTTGCTGTTTGTCATCCAGTTTCTGCTCTAAGCGCATGTTAGCGATCTCTGTCTTCTGAAGTTTTGATGTTGCAGCTGCCAACTTAGTTATAGCTGTAGCCTCACTAACCTGAAGGGCCACAATATGCTGATGTAATTTTGCAATAAGAGTTTTTTCATCTGATTGTACCTAAAATCCAATAAAATAAAAATAAATTAAATGTGTTTAAAAGAACATTACTAAAAAGAGCATTAAAAACTATGCTGGTATCAGAAATCATACCTGATAGTCCAAAATCTGCATCCTAAGTGATTCTACTTCTTTATCTCTCAATTGTTGCCGATTCTCCAGTGCAGTAACTTGTGTCTTAGCTATATCAGAAAGCTCCCTTAACCTTATGGCAGAAATAAAAGATACTGTAAGAGTTGGCAAGATCAGAAAAAAGGCCTAAAATTGGACTATTAAAATAACAATATACCAGTATCAACTATTTTTTCTACTCATAAATGGCTCTCAGAACCAGAACAGAAAAAGCTATAAGAGTTCAATCTTGAATGTATTATGTAAATAGTTTGACTCCTTCAGTTTGCAATAACTGATTTTCTTTTATATTAAATTAAAAATTAATAAAATGAATGAGAGTATTTTCTAAAGAGACACATGAAAGCTTTCTTTATAATAATCCCCAAGCTTCATAAGTTTGTAAAAGAGTTTGGGAATAAAAAGAAGTTAATTTACCAAAAACCTGTCTTAAAAATTTTCCATTAAAAAGATCTTGTGACATACATATATAGGAAAAAGATGATCTGCTGGGTAATTATCAGCACACTCCCTCTTTTTTCAGCAAAGGGATGCAGTTTAAAACTTACTTTGATGCCTCAATCTTGAGTTCAGTTTCACTTTTCTCTAGCTCCATTATTCGACGTTTATCCACCTCATTTATTCCTTTACTCACACTGTTTGACAGTTCATCTCGCAAAGACTGTTCTACTTTCTGTGCTTCAAGGTTGATTTTTGTAAGCTAAGAAAGATCAAATTGAAATTAATTTTACTGAGATAATACAAAACAATATCTAAACATATAGCTGGACAAGTTATATCATGTGCATTTTTATGACATTCCTAAACATGTAACTCCTTCTGACTTACTAAACTAGAAGGAAACTCACTTCAAAACACAATCTGTCTATATCTATTGTATATTTCACTCAATGTATGGCATATTTGCCAAAAAGTCTAGGAACAGTGTTTTAATTTGATTACATTAAAGATGAATATATTTCAAAGCATACTGTTTTACAACTGCCTATCTAATAAAGGAATTATGTATGAAATCTTCAAATACTCTTTACAAATACTGAAATAAAGATCTAATAAAGTGAGTACGGCCTAGGCTAAATCTAATACTACTGACAAGAGGTGAGAAGACAGGTATTGTATATATTTAATCTGATAGCTGTTTATATTGTTAGAACTTGGGATATTAGATTACAGCATAAGACATTTCTCTTTGAAATACATGCAAGAGTTTGATTTTTATATCAAATGTAGCCAGCAGCATCGTAAAAATAATTTATATAATAAATGTAATATGACATAACTTAACCTAACCTAAAACATAACATAACATAATATATTAAATATAATGTTTGATGTTGCTGTTTGTTTTACAAGAGCCATCGCAATCATAGCTAATGGATCTCAGGGGCTGCCACAAAGAAGAAGGAGTCAAGCTACTTTCCAAGGCGCCTGAAGGCAGGACAAGAAGCAACGGATGGAAACTAATCAAGGAGAGAAGCAACCTAGAACTAAGGAGAAACTTCCTGACAGTTAGAACAATTAACCATTGGAACAACCTTCCTCCAGAAGCGGTGAATGCTCCAATACTGGAAGTTTTTAAGAAGAGACTGGACAGCCATTTGTCTGAAATGGTATAGGGTTTCCTGCCTGAGCAGGGGGTTGGGCTAGATGACCTCCAAGGTCCCTTCCAACTTTATTTTATACATACATACATACATACATACATACATACATACATACATTTATATATAAATATAATAAATGTAATATTGTCTCATAAATGTTGTCTCATCATCCAATCCATTATCCAAAAGGCAGGAATGAATGGCAGAAATCTGAAGCAACAATGAGATCCACTTAGATTCCAAAAGCAAAACTCACTTACAGTATAATCATTTGCCTATTTACTTGAAATACAGCTCACTGAATCAATGGAAGCTACTCACAGGTAAATATGTACCTTACTGCACCTTTTACATCAATATAGAATTTGAGCATGTACATGCTCCCTATTTTAATCAATAGTCCCTAAAAGTCTCTATCACCATGAATTTTTTAAAAAACCAACAAGTTAATTCAATGACAGATAATTACAAATAAAACAGCAATCTATAATTGTATGAAACACTTTATGCAAGCTATGTAAATAAAGCTTAATAACTACCTCAGCAAATTTTGTTTCTAGTTCAAAGTTACGTTCTTCTGCTTGTTTTAATGTATTTCGTAGGTGTTCATACATTCTCTGACAATGCTCTGCTCTCTGTCGTTCATTTAGTTCCTTCATTTCAAGCATAGTAATTTTCTTAGAAATAGAAACAATCTCACTGTTGGTTATGGCCTTTGTAGCTTTGTCTGTAGTACTGTCTCCTAATAACAATAATATCATCATCATGTACAATAAAATGCTACTCACATGCACTACATACCTTGAATAGAAATAAAATATAATAACAGTGTTATAGAAAATATATTAAATTTTCCAAAATCTTTATTCTTTTAATGTAAAAGAAAGCAGGAATATGACCCAAGTGACTTAACCATAATGTTGTTCAATTATAGTAGATTAATAATTTGTTGATGATCTAATCCCATTTGTGAGTTTGAGATACCTCATTTTTTCACTGAAGACAGAAGAAACCAACTTTCCCAAACAGGACAAGGCACTTAACATATGTTAACATTCTAATACAGGAGAAATGAAACAGAGATATAACTAAAACCTATGTTCTTTTTTTCAACTCAATACATGGATGTAATTAAGAATTTTACTCTTGCCAAACTTAGAATGTGAAATTGGTGTTCCATCACTTCCCAAGTAAAAAAGAAAAAATATACAAACTTGTCAATTTGTTAGTTTTACAGAAAAAGAGTAAAATGCATTACCATATCTTTTTACCCTAACCATGTGCTTACCAAGTTTTGCTGTTTGTTCCCAGGCTTGTTCAATTGTATGAAGTTTCTCTTTTGTAATTTCTAGTTCCTTATTTAAAGATTCTATCTGATTTTTCAAAGATGTGTTCTCATGCTATGAAAGAAAATGTAAAGGTACATTATTTTTCTAAATATAATTTGAATGTAATTATAGTACTGATTTTTCTATGTTGGCCTGACTGAAATATACTTTGACTTTAACAGCAGTTTCATGGGGCCACTCCATAAAGATCCCCTTCTAATTCTTGTTGATAATGAAGCATCCAATTGGATTTGCTAATAGCTTGAAAAGTAAATGAAGGATGAAGCGAACAATATAAAGTTTGTTCAAAGTAATATAATATAAATAATATTACCTCTAGGCGTTCCACATTGTTTGTTCTTTGAATAAGCAAGTTATCTTTTTGAAGCATATCCCTGTATTTAGCAGTTAACTCATTATATTGTTTATTAGCCATTTCAAGATCATTTAGAGGTACGCTGTCATCCAATGCTTTTTGCAATGCTGCTATCTTGAAAGTTGCCATTTCCTAAATTGAAAAAGAGAAAATGCCTTTTAAAATATAAAAGCTTAAATACTGAGTTCAGGAGAATGTTGTCAATGGTCCCAAGGAAATTATTATTCCAAGAGTTACTAGAAATACTGTATATCTGTAGGAGTGGCAGAGCCTGGGGGTGGAGTCAAAGAAAGAATCAGCCTAGAGTTTCTATGTTGCCACAAGCTGATAAAGTCCAAACCTTCATGAAAGCCAGCTTGTTGACTTTGGGCCAGACACTGTCTCAGTCCAACTCACCTCACAGGGTTGTTATTGTGAGGAAAATAGAAGGAGGAAGGAGCTATTTGTAAAAATAATAAATACAAATACAAATAAATAAATCCTAATCTAGTGCCAAAATAGTGCTAACCATTAGTCAACTGCATTCTTGTGCATAGGCATGAGCAATAAATCAATTTAATTGGAACTTAAAGTGTGGCCCTTGTCTTTTGCGCAAGACATTAATCTAGTCAATGGATTGCAATGAAACCATCAGAATGGAATCTGACCTGCAGGCCAGTACAGTAGCTGACCAAGTGACTTTGGATGCTGTTCTATGCCACCAGGATGGTTTGGAAACCAAGATATGCAATGTGTCAGTCAAAATGCATAATATGTCAACTATGATGCTCCAATTGAGCCAACAAATGCAGAATTTACCTCAATTTCCCCCTATACCAATAGCTCCAGCACCAACACTTGCTCCGGCAGTGCTGCCTATTTTACAGAGAACTCTCAGTAGTTTGCCAGAAAGGTTTGGAGGAGAGTCAGAAAAGATGAGAACTTTCATAGCACAATATGAGCTGCTTATGGGCACCCGGGCAGCAGAATTTCCAACTGACTGGTTTCGAGTTTCCTTTATACAAAGTCTCCTCATAGTCTCAGCACCTCAAAGGGCCCTGTCCATCATTAAATGCAATGACCCTATTATAGATAACTATCAGAATTGTATGGAAAACTTCAGGGGGCACTTCAGGAATCTGATAAGAGAGACTACAGCAACATACCAGATTCATGAACTTGATAACACATAACCAATCAATTTATGTGTAATTGAACCATACAATGTGATAAACAAACTTGGATAAAGTAACACATACTTTGAACCTTTGCAAAGATCCAATCTTCTCTCGAACCGTCACCTCCACTGATACCATCTCAGTCTTCATTTTCTCATTTTCTTTGCGAAGATGCCTTTCCATTTCAAGTAATGTTGCGTATTGTCTTGTCATTGATCTTTCATTGACTCTCAGAACAGTTATTTTTCTACTATAATCCACAAATAGTTGTTTAGTATCATCACTATCCTTTTCAAGTGCATCTAATAAATCCTGTGGGAAGTTTCCAGTATTATAGACATTGTAGTCAACATTTGGTAAGCATTTTACTCATGAATAATTAACGTTCTGGATTATGAAGCTTTATTCATACCATCAATCTACTCCACCTTCCCTCAGACCCAAGTATTTTCCAAAAGAATCTATTCAGAGAACTAAGTACATTAACAGCTAGGAAAACAGCTTTTGCTCTCTATTCCTCTTTGTGTGATAAAGTATGGGGAAAAGTAAAAACCTCAGCAAATCAAAGATCCCTTGCTAATACTGTAGGAAGAAAGCTAATTAAATGATATTCTTAGGATTATAGTTAACATTTTCTCTGTTTGCATGTAAATTAAAATTTACTACATCCAAATGAAAATAATCTCCTTACAGTATATTCCTTTATTTTTACATCATCTTCCTCCTTTTGATACTCCAATCTTTTCTTTTCCTGTAGTATTTTGTCATTAGCAACTTGCCAGTGTTCCCTTTCACTAAAAAAGAGAGAAGCTTTTAAATAAATGCATGCATATTTAAAGCAATTTCTTTTTATCAATCTGTAAAATATATTTTTAACAAGTTAGGTGGATGCCTAGGTTTGAAAGTTTAGATTAAAAAGTTATGAACAATTTTTTGTTCAACAGTCTTAGACAGAAAAAAGCTAAGATTGTCATGATTTCAAAATATTTCTTTTTGACACAATAGTATCAGTTTTAAAATTTGTAATTTGGCAATATGAACCATAAAGGAGTAAAAACTATTAATAAACGGAGTTGAATGTATTATGTCATAGGCCAGCTCAAAAAACCTATCAGACAAAATTCTCACTTCTTCCATTAACAAAGATATTTTGACTTTCTAATCAAAAGAATCAGAAGGAAAAACCACTATACCTTTGATATTCTTTATACAGCAAGCCTTGTTGATGGCGGATAACTGCAAATTTTCTCTTATATTCTTCTATTGCCTCTTCTAATTTTTTGAAGAGCTGTTCTTTATTTTCAAATTCCTAATAATACACTTAAATTAAAAATATGATACCTCTCTACTTCAATTCCAATGTTATTGTTTTCTTGAAGTTAATGAAGTTAGTGAATTAATGCTTCACAACACTTTATTTGTATAAGCATCTGCTAACAAAATGTCCTATGCGCATGCTATTTTGTGTGTTTGTGTGTAATATACATATAAATTTATATGTATTATATAATAAGCATTCATACTTGTCTATAACTAGATTTTAGGAAAAAATATTAATTGAAAAGCTACTAAGTTTAACTCTCAAGAATGAAGAAACCCTATTTGCATGTTCTTCCTGAACTTTTGTTTCTGTATATGGGAAAAAATCTGACAGGTTGGACATATAGAAATACATATGTTATTTAGTTTATTTACCTGCAAAAGGTGTATTAAATATTCATTCTGGGAATTAATTATGTTCACACTAGAAGGAGATATCCCTTCTGGAAGATTTAGTGATTTAAATACTATGCTGCCACCTTCTGATTTTTTCAGCATATCAATTTCATTTTCTAGATTTGCAATCTGAAAAATAAACATTAAAAAATAACAATGCAGGGGGGGAAATCTCAGAAATCTTTGAAGTTTTATCTAGCCCATCTCACTAAAACTACTGGAAAATTCCATAGTTATAAATTAGAAAACCTTCCCTGGAACTCCATAGTACCAAATCACACTATATGTAAAGCTTCATATATTTTAACAGCTTTCAAACAAGTCCAGCAGAAGAGCACCTGGAACATCATTATGTCAGTCACAACAGATATAATTCAGTAATGCAGCCCACAGACAAACAAACAACATTCAACAAAGCAATTCCATTAAAAACAATTTGCAACACAAATAACTCTGACTGGGACTTTTTTCCAGTAGTAGCAGAGATAATTTTGAAAGCCAAGGTAACATACATACTTCTGTATTTGCTTTAGCTAGCTGGTTAGAAAAGTTTATTGCTTCTTTCCGAGATTCTCTCAATTCTTTGCGCAATTCTTCATTTCGGCCTGTCAGCTGGTCCACTTGGGCCCTCAAATGCAAGCTGGCATCAAAAGCTCCTTCCGCATTCTTTAATTCAATTGCCTGTCAACAATCAGTTCATCACAAAAATAAGTATTTTCAATTAAATTATGGAAAATTTTCAGTTCCCCCAAACAATAGAAATCTATTAGTTATCCAAGTACTCCACAGGATCTGTTAATGTAGGTACTGTATGTATGTATGTATGTATGTATGTATGTATGTATGTATGTATGTATGTATGTATGTACATATATGTGTGTGTTTGTATGAGAGATAAAAAAAACTAGTGCTCTCCAAAAGTTTGGGACTATGATTCCTATCATCTGAAACTATAACAAGTGATCTTGCTGGATTCATAGATTAAAATAAGGCTAAATAAGGCCATGGTACCTACAGAACTGCTTTCATCCCATTACATTGACCTGTTCCACCTGGTCAGGCAAGGAAGGTATGCTATGTAAACTGTCAGTTAAAGAATTCTGACTGGCGCGATCTAAAAATAGAGCCTTCTCTGACATTGTCCCTGTCCTGTGGAATATTCTCTCCCCAGAAGTGAGGCAGGCCCCCCCTCTCCTGGCCTTTCAAAAAGGAGTTCAAACATGGTTCTGCAGCCTTGCAGAGGGAGCCTAAAGGAGTATGCAGCCTTGGGGCTGGATAATGCCCTGAGAGTCCTCTCTTTGCCTTCTCAATTGATTTTTAACAGATCTTAATTATTTTTGCTTCCTCCCCCCAAAAATAATTATAATTAATATTAATTATAATATTTTAATTTTTTAGAGTTTTTTATTTTTTATTGTACTCTAGTCAGGATCCCTTTTTAAGTGAGATGAGTGGTTCAGAAATGCAAATAAATAAATAATAAAATATCTGAAACCCATCTAATAACTTCATCCTAATATATTGTAAATTTATTTAATGCTCTATAGCAGTGATGGCAAACCTTTTACAGACCGAGTGCCCAAAATCTGCCCCGCCCCGCCACCCTGCTCCAGCCTGCCCTGCCCCCCCACCCACCGGGCCACTCACCACCTCCATGGCACGCCGCAGATCGACCAGGCGGCCTAGCAGCGCCATGGCAGCCATGTCCTCTGCCCGCGCCCTGCAGCATCATCGACACACAATGGGGTGCGAGGGCGGAGTCCTGTCCCCGCTGCCCAGCTACCATGTCTTTGGCTGCGCTGCTCGGTGCGGACCGTGCCTGGGGGCAACTCTCCTCCGGGGGAAGCTGCTGGTAAGGAGGGGGCCACAGGGAGAGGCGGGGCTGGGGCGACGGCGCACATGCCCACAGAGAGGGCTCTGAGTGCCACCTCTGGCACGGATGCCATAGGTTCACCACCACTGCTCTATAGCTTAATAGAGCTTAATTTAAAATCTTGAAGAATGATTTCTATGATGAAATGAAACATATCTCCAAAGTGCAATGAATAAAAAACATATCACATATGAAAAAAGACACCAACACTATTCTATAACTCTCTTAGAAAAAAATTCTAAGGAATGAGGAAAACAAAAGGAATCAATCTATGTGCAAACTGCAAATACTAGGCATTACCATTTCCAAAAGATTTTCAAGAAAATTAAAAGGGAAAAAATATTCACTAGAATTTTTTCTTTTTTCTTCAAGATAAGATATGGCGATCCGGCAGGTAATTGATTTTGGTCCCTTATGTAAGCCTTCATCTTTGTCTCTATCTTACCCCAAGCCATTATTTTGTACTTACCTTCACTAACAAAACAGCTTCAAACAGCTTAGTAAAATTCAGTCCACTTATCTCTGCCTTAGAGCATATGAAACATTTTGAATAGTTGTATGAATACAGAGGTAGAGCAGCATGGTATTAATATTGCTGATCAGGGTTATGGGCAAAATCATGAAAGACTGCTGATGCACACCTCACTTCCATAACCATTATAATACATAATTTATAATGCAAAGTATGGTCAGTTTATATTTTTGCAGAATGGACTGCAACACTCTCATCAACTGCCTACTACCTCTTTTTTTTTAGTCGGTAAAAACATTTGGCTCCTCCAGATAGATCCTAGGCATTACCTAATCCCAAACATTTCACTTTAGACATGAAAAGATGGTACATGCCTTCTAGATGACCTTAGAGGAGAATCCCATTTTTAGGAATTCTGTCAGGACGTTGTAAACCTGGGGTCTTCAAACTTGGCCCTTTTATGACTTGTGGACTTCAACTCTCACAATTCCTCAGCCAGCGAGCCTGTAAATCCCCTGTAAACACTTACAGGGATTTATTGTTGCTATAATTTGTTTCAAATTCTGTAAAACTTTCAGTTATATTCAGCAAGAGGCATAACTGATATATTTTCCTATTTTATGTGCTATTTTTAATAACATGAAATCCATTGAATAATGGGAGAGATTCAACTAAGCTAAATAATTAAAATAAAACAAGAGACTCACATTTACTAACCGCTCCAGACTAGGAATCATAAGAGCATTTTCTCCATCTTTCACACCTGGATCCTTTTGCATATCCTTTATCGCTTGTAAAATTTCTTTCATGCCTTGTTGAAGGTGCTTGTTTTCTTGTACTAACTCTTTCACTACAATTACAATGCATATTGTTCACATCTGGACACCATGGAAAAAAAACTTTCACATTCATATGCATTTTTAATGCTTGAAACAGTGACTTGACTCCTTATTGCCACTTAGTTGTACTATTCTATATTGGTATTTGAAATTCATAAACAACTTTCAGTTAGTCCAGAAAGCAACAGCCCAATTGTTGGCAGTTGTGAGGGCAGTTTGGGTGCAACATTTGATTAGGGGTCTGGAGGCTCACAAATGTTGTTTCTCTGTGGTGATGCAAATACTATGGAATTCCCTGCTTCCTGAAATATGATTAGTTTCAATAAAGCTTTAGAAAATTATTAAAAACACAATTGATTGGTTTATCGATAACACAATTTAGTTCTATTTTGTTTGGTTGCTTTATGATTTTATCTGTGATTTCATTTTAGGGTTGTTTACTACTTATTGTTATGCATTGAGGATATTTCTCATGGCAAAAGTCCCTTATGGCAGAGTTTCCCATCCTCTAGTTTATGCAAAGGTTTGCAAGATTTAAAACAGAGACCAAGTTTAATTTTGGTTGATCCGCTAACTGTTGCAGTTTACATGTAGTTACATTTCTTATGGGAACTATAAACCTTTAGATATTCTTTATTAAAATTACAGTTTCAACTTTCCTAGCTTTCAACTTTACCAATCAACAATTATTTTGACATTTATTTTTCTACTGACTGTAAGTGAGCAAGCCTCAAATCTACTATAGGCACAATTAGAAAGCTATATTCATCTAATATTAAGGCAGAAGCTTGACTCCCTTTTAGCCATAATTCTATTATACTTTCAACATTAAAATTTGCAAGACATATTTGGAAAACATTGAGAAGGAAGTAGAATCTTGACCCTTATTCATGCAATTAACTTACTTTTTGGGATAACCCAGCTTATTGTTATTGAAAAAAGGAAAGTGGGTTATATGTAAACACTTTTAGATTGCCAATATTCACTTTTTGCCTGTGAAGTGTCTCTATTAATATAATGAAAATATTGATCAATATTATTCAGAAAACAGAGCAATTTTCTGTATGTATTTTTCATTTTAATGCATTTTTTTTACTTTAGACTAAAGCAATTTAAAAAATAAAAAATTCAGCTTACAATTGGATTTCAATTTCATTATTACAATCCTGTTTTGTTCCAAATCTTTTTCTCGTTCATTTAATTCTTTGGCAAGGTAGTCATTCTGTCAACAAAAATGACAAAAGCATAAAAAACAGAATTCCATTTTAAAAAGCTGAATTAGTTAATAAACTAAGAAGTTGAAGAATCATAGTTAAAACATACATGTGATACATTTTCAACAATGTATATGATACAGTATATTTGAATATATGGATGACAGTCGAACGCTACAAGCAAGGCAGTAATTACAGTCACAAAATATGAAATACTTATCATGCTACAAAACACAAAGATTTTTTATATTATATTTGGAACCTTGAACTACCTCAAATTTCTGGCTCCTGCATCTGTCAAGCTCTAGCTCTGCATTTTTATTCAGTGTGTTCTTGGCAAACAAGTCTCTTAATATCTGCTCATTCTGAAGAATAAGTAATAATTAGTGCATCATTATCTATGTTTTAGCATCAAAAAGCTTTAATATTACTTATGTCTTGTCAACCTGAGGTTGCCTATCAAGTAATTACTAAAGAGTTTCTAGACCAGACATATCAAACTCGCAACGTCACATGACATCGCGCGATGTATCGGAGCTTTTTCCCCATTGCCGGCAATGGGGTGGGCGGGGTTTCCTCGTGACGTGTCTAGCCCACGGGTCAGCAGTTTAACCCCCCTGTTCTAGATGGTCAACAGTTGTTAAGATCCTTAATTGTAGGGCACAAGCAAGGAACAAAGAATTAGAGATTTGGCCACAAACTATTAAAAATAAAGATAGAAACACCTTACTCCTTTTGTATTAATGAGATTATGAAGGCAGGACCTATTTGAATCTCTTTTTTTCAAAATGTTTACACGATAGACTAAGATAAGGCTTGCTGGATAAGTCTAACAGACTGTCCCATCTAAAGATAGATTATGTTATATATTCCCCTTTCTTTCTTAGCACAATCTTATTACAGTGTCATTACAATTCTGCTATGCAAATAGGGAAATGCTCATCTGTCCAGGTAATACCACTCAGGCAATGACAATTCATTCAAATAAATATTATGACCTATCCATAATTATGATAAGTACTATGAGGTAGTAACCTCATGAAATAATTGAATCATGAATACTAAAAATATAAGAGGAAGGTGTCTCACCTCTGACCTAAGGAACATTATTTCACTCCTCAGCTGTCTTATGAGATTTTCAACTCGATCTATCTGATATGCTTTCAATGACTGACCACAATCAAATTGTCCTTCCAAGAGCTCTACCGGCCACGATTCTGAAAAATATAGGTCTTTGCCGGTGTCTTGCAAATCTGTTCTCAAATCCATCAATTTAACTTCAGAATTGTCTTTCTCATTTTTTAACAGGATTTCCTGCACTATATAGGATGACATAGGCTTCCTGAGCAGAGAAGAATCCAAGAATACTTTCTGTACAGAGCACAATGGCATTTGGGCTTGACAAGAAGCTTCCATTTTCTTCATCTCCCTTTCCTCTCTTTGTATATGCTTTTTATCATCCTTTTCAGTTCTTTCCAGCACAGAAAATGAAACTGGACAATCTATGCTGTTCAAATTCTTATTGCTGACTGAACATAAAGCTGTCCCTAGAATTTCTGTGGATGTTTGCTCTAGTGAACTGTAAAGCTCATCTACTGTAAAAGTCTTAGAACTATCACTGTTATCTTCCACTTGTACCTATGGAGCAAGTTGAGAATGAGAAAAGAAACCTTTTTCACTTTTTCAGACAGACTTGGAAAAACTCAATTTAATTCCGCAGATCTTTCAGAAAATCAAATAATTATTTTATCCTAAAGTATGCTTTTTCTTTTTTATATATATGTAGAAGTGTATTCTCAAAATGAATATATGTAGAAGTGTATTCTCAAAATGAATATATTTTCTTGTATAGAGTATAGTTTTTTCAAAGCTGTATACTTTCAGAAATTCAGTCAAAATGGAAGTTCAAAAGAATGACTACCTTTGTTTTAAGTTTATCAAAGTTAGATGTACTCATTAACTCAGATCTCTCTCTTTTCATCTTCAAATCTTCAGTAAAATTATCAATCAGCTGTAGATCATCTGCATCCAGTCCTACTTGGAACAAATTTTTCAGACAAAATTAACTTAGGGAGGATCTGAGAAGTAAAAGTTAAGAAATAGACTTTACCAAAGAAAGTGTAAAAAATCCTCAATGTTTGGATCTCTTAGATTGGCAGGAGATGTCAACATTGTATAAAAGATAGCAGTTCAAACTTTTATCCCACTGTGTAAAAGAAGTGAAGAGTCTCATAAAGCAGAAGCAGGAACTATCAACACTGATTAACCTGATGTAGATTACAGAACAACTAATACCACTTAAATAAAAAGACATTTAGTAACAGATCAGACACAGTACTAAGATTTTTAGCAAATTCTTTTCCATATAGTTTAATGGAAAATACTATGTTCGCAATGAAAGACTACATCACACTTGTAACATGTTCAATAAAACTAAGAATTTGTTTCTTTTTTATTAAATTTGTATGCCACCCTCTCGCTATACAAAGTGACTCTGAGTGACTTTGTTATTTAGAATTATTTAGTCTGACTCCTAAGTATTGGAAAATATTATTTGATTGAGTAGGAATGATAGAAAAACCAATTATTAATCTCATCACTAAATTAATTTTTAAAAAATAAGTACCAGCTTACCTAAAGTTGCAGCTCTTCTCCCTTTCTCCTGAGCCAATTTACGGATTTGTTGTTTCAAGATAACTCTTTCTTCTTCTAATCTTTCAATCTGCATTGAATTTAAATGGCATTATTTCTCTTTGTGCTTTAATTATTATGAAAACCATTAAGTGAAAAATATTACTTGCCTCTTTCAGTAAGACTTGATTTTCAGCCTTGTACTGCTGTTGTTTTAATGCTTTGCTATTTTTCAGTTCAGTTAAATCAATCATTGTTTTTGGATCAAGCCCTAAAATGCAACAGAGCATGCATTAGAGATTATTTGAAGATTTGATTATGAAATTGCTGGACTGGATGATATGGAAAGATACACTGAGAGAAGAGTATCTCTTCCCACATAGGAACTTCTTGATACTTTTCATTTTTTCTTAGTTAAGTATCTATACTGAGCAAAAGCCTCAGCTATTGTATTCATTTTCTTTGTCCTTCAATATTCATTTCTAAATTCAATTATGTTGAAAATGCAGATTTTTACTAAACCTGGCAAAAACAGACCACCCTTTCATCATAGTAGCAGCATTCGGCTAGTTCTTTTAGACTTAACCATTTATTATTAGGTTATTGGTTTTGTCTGACTGATGATGATACTTAGCACTGATGATGGTACTTAGTTTGATAACAAAACATCTGCAAGACAACCACCAAGCTCAGACAGCACCAAAGACCCTACAGTTAAAATTTGAGCTAATTATTCTCTCTGTATTTATGTGTATTTATTTTCTATGCAGCAAAGGAAAATAATCTTAATTCTTAATATGTATGTGGATATGTGTGTACATACATATGTGTGTATGTATATGTGTGTACATATGTATGTGTATACCTGCACACACACAAACATATACTGGGTAGAATATAATCTGGATTCCCAGGATAGCAAGTGACAGCAAAGTTTAGATAGTTTGGTTGAGAGAAAGAGGGTCAAGATAGCTCCTCCCTAGAACTTCTGAGAATATATCTTTAATGATGTAAGTAATTATTTATTTTGGCAAGATTTCTATCCATAGGTGAGGAATAAAGGAAACTGCTTAGAAGCAACTCCATGTATCTTTCTTGGTTTTGGGAGCCACACACTCAGACATACACACACATAAACACACACACAAAGTAGAACACCCATGACTGGTTGGGTCTTTTTCAGAGATATTTCCTTACCCTAACAGAGAAACAGTGTGACTACAGATGGGGAAAAAATCAGTGGAACGGGAGCAACTTTTGACTTCTGCTGGCTTCCCCATTGACTTTCCTTGTAGGAAGCTGGAGGCAACTTTGGAAAGATGATCACATGACCTTGGCTAACCACTGATTCAAAAGTGATTGTCCTATGATTCACTGTTTTATCCAACTGAACATTTTAAACAAACAGATATTATATATATAAATATATATATGTATGTATGTATGTATATATGTGTGTGTGCGTGTATAGAATACACATACATGTGTATTTACAGACACATACATAGACACACGTTTGTGTATACACACATACAGTGAAGTAAATCTGGACAAATCCAACTGACCTACTTGACACAGTGCTCCTTAATATTAATAACAATATGTAAACTTAATAAAATGAAAATAAAGACCAAAATCCAAAGGAAAAAAATCCCTCCATATGGTTAAAAAATTCCTCACTTTTCATTCCACTCCCAATTCCTACCATGCTGCAGATGCATCCACAATGGGTTATTTGATAACACTGCCAATGTTAGTAAAAGTGTTATTCTGTTAAGCACCTTCTCAATGCCCTTAAAATCCAGACCAAAATTTAAAATTGCTTTAATCTCTCTACAAACAAGCAGAAGACATGTTGCCCAAATTTGGATATGAAGAAAGTATCAGTTCAACACCTCAAGATAGCTTTAAAAACTCTGGAGAAAACAAGGTAATCAAAACATGCTAAATATATTATTTAAATATCAAGTTATCTAATAAATCTGATGTGGTCATACCTAGCTGTTCCCGAAGATCTTCATTTTCATCAAGAAGATCATTGATTTTAAATTCAAGTTTATTAACTGCTTTAATTAATGATTCAATTTCACTATTTCTTATTTTGAGTTGCTTTTTTAAACCTTTTATTTCAGCAACAGCATCTTCTAGGCCATATATTCCCTTGGAAAAGAAAAGATTAGAAAATAGTTTAATATTATCAATTGAATATCAAGAAATACATATAAAACATAAAATATCTGGGAATGGAATTATGACCTTAAGTCCATTAATTATCTTCCAAACTCAGTTTCAGCATATTCTTCAACCAGCAAATAAAATTTGGAAGGCGATATAAAGAGAAAAGTTCCAGGACAAAGACTCTTCCTTTACTTGCTTATTTGCATTTATTAAATGCAAACCTAACAAGCTAAAAACAGATGTAGATGTAATATGTGCATGACTGTAAGAGAAGGGATGGTATGCAAGCTGTAACTGCATGAATAGTATAATGAAATGAATGAATTGATTAGCATGTGCAAGAATAACAGATAAACAATGGGTGCAGTAAACAGAAAAAAGAATAGCATAAGAAAAGTATGTTCTTGAATTTGTTTCTGGCCCAATACTTCCCCAGCTCCTGTCCCCTCAGTTGCTGTTATACACCTCCCCTTACTGGGGAGGGAACACCTCTCTCAGCTTTAAGAAAATTGACTGCTTCTGTCTGGAAGATATTCTCTCTGATCAAAAGACATACAGTTTCATAATCTTTCACTCGCTTCAGAGTTTCAATAAGTTCTTTGTCCTTTTCTCTTGCATCTGCTTCTGCAAGTTCTGCTGTCCTTTCAGTTTCCTTGAATTTCTCTTCCAGCATCTGTAATTTTCCTTGCATTTCTCCAATACGATCCTGATGAGTAACTGATAGCCCGCCTGAAATAAAAATATAAATGTCTAATTAGTCAATATTCCTATAGAATTGAATGGTAAAACATATATATAATATGTGACATTAAAAGTATAAATATAGTAGAAAATTAACAATCGGTAAATTCTTTTAAAAAAAAATCAGCTTCCCTTCCACTATAAAATTTTAATCCAAGGGAGTCAGGGACATAAAATGAAATAAAGAAGCAACAACTTCTGAAAAACTTTATTGATACATGGCCAGTAAAGCCTTTGAATGGAAAGTTGAAAATATATATATATATTTGCTTGTGAAACAAGAGAATGAGTAAATTATCTTGAAATATGTTCCTAAATGCATTATTAGGTATATACTCTGAAAAGAATTATCCTCCCTTCTGAACAAATTCAAAATCCCACCTAATATTACTCATAGCTAAGTGTTAGCACATGAACTGATTACCAATGTGCCTTCTTGACTAGCAATTACGGCTATAATCAAACCCTGGTTGTAAATTCAATCAATAATTTTATTCCAAATATTTACTTTTATCTTTCTGGAGTTCTCTTTTCAGGTCCTCGATGATCAATACATTTTTCTCCATCTCCTTTGTATACTGTTCAATCTGTTCAGTGAGCAATTTGATCTGACGGTCTCTTTCTTGCACACCCTAAAAAGTAGTTTTGTATTTAATAAATAACACATGTAACATGCTCTTAAAGTACACCAAAATGGTCAACAGAAAGACAAAAGTACTTACAATACAGAATTCAGATATTATCTAGAAGGATAAGCAAAGGGAGCAAAAAATAAAGCAGAGAAATAAAAATAAAATATACAGCTTACAACTTCATGACAATGTCTGCTAAATTAATCACAGCTAAATGGTATCTCTCATTTCATTTTCTTCTAAATAGACATGAGGTACATATATTTCAGCTTATCATAAATTCAGGATAAACTAATGCATTACTTGTACATGATGACTACCATGAGCCCTTCTATATAGACAATAGACTGCTATAGGGAGAATTTTATGTGTGGAAAAGCTGGTATGAGATTGAAAGGGAGAGGACAAGAGTTGGGAACATATCATTGGAAGAGTTAGAGAGGGACAAGCAAATAATCGTAATTGAGGCCATGCAATTAAATTGTTTCCCCTACTTTTCCTTACACAAAAAGGAACTATGCATTGCCTCACTTCTCCTATTCCATCCCTTCTCAAAAGTTTAAAATGTACTGTATTAAGGAAGCAATTAACTTCCAAAACATATGATTTCCCTATCAAATATTTTTGTTGTCCTCAGCTTCACCTTCAAATGAGCTACGTTAACAGATTTTAAAGCTCATATAGCACATTTTATGGAAAACAAACTATTAAAAGATAATGAATTTAGTGGTAAAATATTCAAAATGCTGCATAGATAAATCTAGCTCTCTAAAATAAGTTTCTACGATATGGCCATACAAAAGTGGGTTGCGATGATAATTACTGCATTATATTTTCTGGTAATGTGAATATTTATTTCACACACAAATGTGTGGATACCTGCTGGAGGGCAAGAATATTGCTCTTGTCAGCATCCATCTGGGCCATCTTCAGCTTCTCTTTCAGAGTCAACAACATTTCCTGATATTCAATTATTTCATCATCTTTGGATGCCAAAATTCTCTGCAAGGTAAAAGGAGACAAAAAGAATCTTAATTATGACAAAACAAAACAAATTGCTAAAATACAGGTAATGTTAATTGCAAAATACCTTCCATTCCTCCACTTTTTCATTTACAGCTGCCATAAGAGGGTCATCTTCTTCATTCTTTGCTTTAAGTTGCTCTGTCAACTCATGCACCTGCATGTTACCATTGAGATACAATTCATAATATAAGCTATTGACAGACTAATTATCAATGGGAATTTTGCAGTACACATACTTGGAATCTAGTTGCTTTCTTACAATTTACATGTAAAATATACTGATATCTTTTTCAATGGATAAGGCCATGGACAAATGTATTGTAAATGAAACTTCAAATTTGGTACTATTTAGCACTCTTAAAATCAACATTACTCATTTGATCCTTTGTACTCTAATTTTAATACTTTGTGTATCTGCTTCTAAGTATACAAGGTGCCTCATACCTGTAATCTATATTGCTCCTTTTCCTTTCTTAGCTGGTCCATAGCAATATCAGACTGTTGCACCATAAATTTCATTTTATTATATTCATCAGTCATATTCTCCATTTCTTGCACAGATTCTTCTAAATTCTTCCTCATTTCCTGGCTTTGTGCTTCCAACTTTTCATTAGCTTCCGTCAAATTCTACAAATGTAAAACAGACATATTTCCATGAAATGTATGCTTTGGTATAAGAAGCAATTCTTAAATTGATCAAATTATATTAAATTGTCCTCTAAGAAAGTCTAAAAGATAACAATAACAACTTTGATCATCAGCACAGTTCTTAAATGCAGGGACATCCAACCATAAAACTAATAATTACAATTAGTTCATGAAACAAAATATGGGTTTTGGCATGTTTTAGGGCACCTAAAAAAATATATTCTCATTAGCGTGATGGGCTGACATGCTATGCTCTAATTAACAACCAAACCATTTTATATTAAACTTTCTTCTGAGTTGCCCTATATAGGACAAGCCTCCACTAGTTTAATTTTGATTGTACTAAATTGGCAAGACTTTCCCTACTAGATTTGATCATGATTTATGCTACTGACTTCCCTGAAGATATTTACACCCCTTTATTCCCCTTACAGATATTTCAGTACTCTTTATTTAAAAAATACGGTAATTCATATATATGTATACAAACACACACATGCACAATCTAAATCTCTGTCCCTCCAATTTGAACTACAAAATGTCTTTTTCTAAAATTAACATCTGCATGGAATACAATTTTTATATGTTTAAGTGAATAATGTATTAGTTGCCAGTCATTAGCTTACTATCCCGAACCCCAGAAAAACATGCCAAATCTTTTGATCTTATATAAAATTACCTTGTTCTTATTCTTAGACAAAAAAAAATAGAACCCAAAATAAACCAATAAGGTCTGCACTCCTTTAAATTAAGAGTCAGGTCTGATTATTTTGTTCTACTGAGCAACTCTTTGAAATTTACCTGAATTTCATCTAGGTATTGAACAAGCTCAAAATTCTTTTTTGATAACTGTGACCTGTAATCTGATTCTTCTCCTCTTCTTGAGAGAAGTGTTTCTTTTTGTGTTTCTAATTGTCTCTGATAGTCAATTACATCCTGACGGAGCTGCTCATTCTGCAAAAAAAACAGAGAATTAAAATACAAAACTGCTTAAGATAAGGTATTACTACTTTCTGAAATCAAAAAATATGCTACTGGTAGTAGATCTAAGGGAACTAGAAGTAATAAACCAGACATGCTTCATTTCATTGGATATATTCAAGTGGAGGCTAAATGGCCACCCAAAATACTTTAATTTATATTGATGCACCAAGTATGGCCAGGAGCTTGATAGCCTAATTGTCCCTTTCACCTTTAAAGAATCTAATTTTAAAATTCAGTTACTGAAAACAAGCTAATACACTGAACACAGACACTAATTAGCACTAATCCTCACCTTTTTCTTCATTCTTGTTTTCTTAAATAAATAAGAACAGAACAAGAAAAAAGAGGGAAATTTAAAAGATCAAACATAACAGGCAGAACAAAAAAGAGAAAAATATAAAGGAAGAAGTAATACACATTATCTTACCAAGCAAGCACATTAATAACACAACATTATACGACTTTATAATGAAGAAAATCCATAAATTGAAGCAGAAATTATCTAGATTGAAAGAATAATCCTGTCATTGCAGAATATTTGATATGACTGAATTAAACTAAATTAAAGGGCCTGTCTTCTAAGAAATTAGAAATCTTTAGGTTTAGCATACATGGCACAGATAAGGAAAGATGGAAATAAGGAAGCACAATAGCAATGATAAATCAAAAATACGCAAGGTGTAACAAATAAGTAGGCACCAGGAATAAAAAATTATTTTGAGTCAAATTATATTGGCATACCAACCTCTCTTCTTAATTTGCTGTTTTCATTTTCTGTTTCTGCATTTCGAAGAGTAAGCTAGAATGACAAATTGGTTAGCTGAAACTATATAGTATGATCCTAATATAATACATGTCTCTTTTTTTTAGGAACCTATATATAAAAATCATTAACTGAAAATAAAAAAACCCTCTATTTCAATCCAAAAGGTTGTTTAACCAGTCTACTAAAACTATAATGCTGTATTTTCTCAGAAGCACATAGTAGCAGAAGTGATTATTATTCAAAATTCACCAATTCCAAAATTTAGTGCAGTCAATCTGCGATCTTATGTAGGGAATAAACTCTATTTAGTTCCACAGACACACAAATATAATTACTGCTTATTTATAATGCACTAAAAATATTAACTTGTTAAAGTAGACATAGGAACTATTGAAACTAGTAAATTTGAGAGCATCTCTTTCAGTTCACTATGCATATTAGATTGTTTCTTATAATTTTATGATTTTGAAACACTTCCAGTGCTTCATTTAAAAAAAACCACTGTATTTATAATCAGATGTATTTTTCAAATCAGAAGTATAGATAATATTCAGTATTGTCAATAAAAGAAAGAATTTCAGATAAAAATCTTATATTCAGTTATCTGTACATTTATTTGACTCAACTGGCCCTTCTTCTGTGTAGATATTATACAGCTTTAGTTTTCCTGAGTTTATAGTATCTATCACTACTATGTTGATATAAATTTACATTATTTTCTTTTTAAAAATCTTATATTGTTAAGCTCTTTTTCTATTTCTATTGCTATTCTCAACATTAATTTGTACATAACAAGTTTTTAATCTTTGTAGAGATTAATATAATTTACCTGCTCATTAGCTTTCTTCTCTTTCTCTAGGTCCTTTTCCATGTCTGCTAATTCTCTGTCTTTTTGTGACAACTGTTTTTCCAATTGGCGAATTTCATCACGCAGAAATCGAGTATCACGGCTACCAGTGGATCGCTGTGCTATCTTAGCAAATATTAAAATAAAACTAGTTATATATATTTAATTATATTAGGGAAAATAAAAAGTACATATTCTAAACAATATAAAACTCATGGAAACTTTTTGAAATATAGTAAATATGCAACTGAACAATGTCAGATCAGATTTAGCTATTTACTCTAAGGGGATCATCTATCTTGGGATCTAAATTAAAGTTATACTGAAAAATAACTAGTAAATTATCAGATATTGAAATAATTCATTATTTCTACTGTAGCACAAATCAAATTCCAAACTATTAATATTTACTTTATGATTCAACATATTCTCTGCAAGTATACTTTTCATTATATTTAAAAAATGTTCCAAAGTCTGATTTCTCAGTTAATAATTAATTCAAGGAAGTTTTCTAAAATATGTAATAGGATCCTGTTTTTTTATATTGTCTATATGACCTATGATTTCAAATAATGAGAATTCTTTCAAGATAATACTTTATTTCAAAAGGCTATAAATTATTTATCAAATACATTTTATTTATTTTAATTTAAAAAGTGGGTTTTTTTTAGAAAGTAGCAATGTTTTAAGTAATTTTGTAACCAGCTCAGAGATTTTTAAATATTGGGCAAATTAAATAATTGCAGGATTTAAAATTA